TCTAGTTGCAGGCTTGACGAATAGTAAATTGTAAAACAGGATGACTTAAGAATGTCAGTTTTTTTTGTGTAATGAATTTTTATAAACTTTTTAAATTTCAAAACTCATGTCAAATTTTAGACATCATTGTTAAGGGAATACATTTTCAGATTATTCAATTGGTAGGAGAACATTGCATTCAATATCATCTAAAGTTTCATCCCAATACACAATAAAAATATTTTTGAAAATAGGTTAATTCTTCAAACATCACATGCATCAGTCATTTCTTATTATATTAATTTTTCTTATCTTAGTAAGTTATATGCTTTCATATGAAAATAAAACACTAAACACAAATAATCAATTTAAAAAAGTTCACATTATCTTGCATTAATTTAAAAAAAAAAGGGGGGATCTTCTGTGTGTAAATTCTTAAGTCAGTAGACAGTTTGCCACTGATTCGGATAACAATCTATTTATTTGTAACAGTATTTTGCAATCCATAGTAGAGTCGTAGTACACAGCTGGTCATTTCTGGTCAGTCTTCTACAATATTGTGGTAATTAGACAATTTCCTGATCTGAAGACAAACAAGTGTGTTTGAATAAAGGATGTATCAATTAGTATTATTGGTAAATGTTCTGGCTATTTAGCTTGAAGTAACCCAAAATCTGGCAAAAATTGTTTATAATGATATAGGACAAACCCTAAATTTCATTCTAGGAGATATCAAATTGCACAATTTATTGGAGTTTATTAATGGTGATACAGATTAAATTCTAAATATATAATTAGGTTGAAATTATCATCTACTTGATTACATCATAAGTCTGAAAATAATCAGATGTCAGTATTTATTTTTGATGTATATTTAAAAAGGTCATTAAGGCATCAAATATTTGTCAAACCAAATTTTCTTTGTTTTTATCTTCCCATGTGATATAATTTTCCACTGAGTGATGCTATGTATAGAAAATTTTGATAGCTCAATGAAAATGAAAAAAATGATAAATATTCTTTGCCCATCAACACAAAAACAGGTAGAAAGCATAGGTTCCTTTATTAAAAAGTTATTAGCACTAAGGATAGGGGACTCATAATTGAATTTTGAACTATTTTCATTAGTTTGTTTAATATGATTATACATGCTTTTTTCTTGTCATTATGTTAATGTTGTTTTTATCACAAATCGAATAAGTTGGTTTATATGGCAATAAAAGTTTGATTGATTTGCTAATCATAGATGTATTAATCCAATCATTTCGAAATTTGCACCTGATTAACATTCAACAGTTTTGTATACATGAAACAATTCAAGATAAAAATCGTAGGTTGCACATCTGTAAATAAAGACAATACATGAAACAATTCAAGATAAAAATCGTAGGTTGCACATCTGTAAATAAAGACAATGCAATTTCCCATAGGAACCCCCTTTACAGCTAAAACTGTGCCACTTTCACTATAAAGTTTTGTAACAAAAATTATATCCTAGAATGGAAAGTTGTTGATATGCACAACTTTTTTATTATTATAAAGTCTAACTATAGGGATCTGCGGCATATTTTCAACATTTACATGCCCAGAACTTCTAAGAGTTTGAACTTATACTAATAAAATTCTGTACTGCTCCCCCTTAAATAAAGGCGGCTTTCCCTTCATTTTGGGTCTTCCTCAGAATTCAAGTTGGCCGCTACCTATAAATATCTACCTATACTGGTAACATTCCCAAGTTATGTCTCTTTGTCAGAGATAAAACATATAGATCATATCTGGGAACGAGTACATATACAAAAAATATCTATGAATATGATATACAAATGTATCCCCCAAAAGAGGGTTTTATTTATTTATTATAGTCTGTGAAACAGCTGTATTTACAAAGTGCAACCTACAAAATGAAATTCAGTAGTATCAATATCATTTATCCTGCTCTCTAAACTACTATCGCTGTATCAGACTTTTGTCCCCCTCCCAAAAATGTACATATACATAGGGAATTAATCAGAACTAATGTGTTTTAAACCTGGAAATTATGGGTCACAAAATATTTCTGTTCTGGAAAATCTTAATGACTACCAGTAAAAATTATATGGAAATTATTCGTCCCTTTGGAAAATACATGGAATTTCATGTGCACTAACAGACAAAAAGTTTGTCTTCCATTAGGGGGGGGGGGGGGGAACAGACTATTTCTGGAATAGCCCATTCTGATCAAGAGTGATATCGAAAATTTTAAATGAAAATAAATCAAATAGTTTTGATGATTATAGTAAACTTATCAGTAACTCAGGAATCAAAAATATGTAAAAATAAGTTTGAAATGAGGAGTAATTAGAGTATTCTGCGAACATTATTTTTCATTTCTTTATTTCACACATTCAGTAACACACCACAGGAGACTTATCCGTACTCGTATCAAAAGGCTGTATGCACCATCTAGAAGTTTAGAACGCGTACAAGTCGATGTACGTGAAAACAAATTATGCGCAATAATACAAGTCGATCGGGGGCCAATTATGCACAATTTTATTAGTCGATTGAAACCATGTATGCACAATAATACCAGTGGATTGGAAACCAATAATGCATAACTTAAAAAGGATACATGTCGCTTAGAAACCCGAACGCACAACTTACAACGCACACTAGACCAGTCTTATGCATCTATATTGTTACAGACATACACTTACAATGCACTCAGTTTTAATTTATTAATAATTTATTTAACATATTGTCAATGTCAGATTAAGAAAATATATGTATATCAAAAGTATTATATATCTTAGTTTCATATATTTCTAGATAAATGCAAAAAGGAATCCTCGGTGTTAGATATATCAACTGTGCTAGGATCGAGCCGATCGTGGCATTTGATGTTAAATATTACACGACGGACTTTTTCCTAATGTTGTAATATTGATATAAATTACATAAGAAAAACCGCGATTTATTTTTAGATCATGTTTATTCCCGAAGCAGTTGGTCTAGTTACGATTTTCTAATATTTGACCACAATGATGCTAAAATATCATGATGTCCCCGTCAATTGAATTATAGCGCAAAACTGTCTCATATGCAATCATACCACATCGCATAATTTTTACTTGGTAAAAGCTCTGTCAGTCTCTCCACTGAGATACAAGCATAATTCAGGGGGAAAAGATATTCAAATTGAAATAAGATCATGATAATTAAATATGCAGATGCAGATATACTAAGAACATAAAGTTGGAAATTAATGCGTACATGATTTGAAGTAGATTATAACTTCAAATCATGTTTAAAGATGAAATATAATGAAGGAGCCAATAAAGAATAGATACGAAAATAAAAAGGAAAATACAAAGGGGAAATATGGTAACTGGAAAGTGTAATGCATTTGAGGAAATGAAAAAAAAGTAAATATAATGATGGGCCATTGATTTATGAAATTAGTTTCTGCAAAACATAAACGATTAACTTTTATACAGGTTTCCATAACTTATGAAATTCCCAAGTATCTACATTGAGGACAACAATGAGGCTTAAATAGTTTAAAGTACAAGTAAGAGACAATAATTATATATATTTTTTTGTAATTTATAGTTTTCGAAATTTTCAATTTAAGTTTTATAACAACCAAATAATTTTCTTTTGCATAGATACATGTGCTCCAAAACAGTGTCGGAATAATTATTTAATCTATTTTGTTCCAATGACATTATTAATCACAAATTTTGAAAAAAAAAGATTTGTTCGATATAAAAAGAAATCTAAGACCCTTGTTTGTATCATTTTAAATGCATGCTCGAATGAAATCAACGGGGTTGAGGTATATAATTTTTGACCTGTCTGTCAGTAATTTTCGTCCGTCTGTCAGTAATTTTCGCTTCGTTTCGTTTCGTAAAGCGTAATCAAAAACTTTAAATCGGATTACAGCCTTACCTGGATATAGGGCCGCAAATAATGATAAGAATGAACCCTATAGATTTTCAACTCAAAGGTCAATGTCAACGTTACATTTGTGTGCAGAAATTGAATTCCGAATCAACTACTTCATATAGGATTAAAGTCTCTAAAATTACTAAGTTTAGAATATGAAAAGTGTAATTTTTTTCAATTTACTTTTATTTATGGTCATCAAGAAATATACCGGCAATGTGGTTTTTACGAATTCTTTTGTAATTATTTTGTCTCAATTCCCTTGTTTTAATGAGAAAGTTTTAGCTATTTGAATAAAACCACCCCAACTTTTTAATTGATGTGCTCCCTTAAAGGGGCATTAGCTGTCAAATTCATGTTCACAGATTTGACTCGCATTCTCACATATGATTTATTACATACTGAAACGTATATCCAAATAACAAAAAGTCTAAAACAAACAATTAACAATGCATGTGTCATGATAATATGTACTAGCTAGTATTTCGTATGTATTTTAGTCCAGATGCCATCTAATAAATCATCGAGATCACCACCAAAGACTACAGACGTGCATATTACCCGATATAAACATAAATATAAATAAATAGCGATCAATTGGATTTTTCTATGTCTCTTTGATTTCAAAATTTTTTATTGGTTAAAAAATTATGTTAATCATGGTTTTTCCTGTATAAGAATGATTTTTTGTTGATCGAATTCGTCAACGAAATGGTTCACCCTTGTTTTGCTTTCAATGTTGACATTATTTTCCTTCTAATAGCTGAACACGCATAGTACATGTGTAACCCATCTCCCGCTAAAGGGTTAAATTGAACGTCACATGAATACGAATTCAATTGAGGTTAAATTATTCACTTGCAAATAAATAATTCATCAGCGATGATTGTTAGCTTATTTTGACAAATTTGGAACAAACTGAATGCTAATAACGAAATTTTATTTCCAAAACCGCTTTTATTAATACTTGGGCATAAAAAGAATCGTTATGTAATTTTTTGCCTAAATCGTAGCTAATGACCCTTAAGGCTACCATCAGACTGAGACTAACTTTTTGAGTGATCATAACAATTGCATGTCATATAAACCCAACACATCATCATATGTTTTTTATTCAATATTTTATCATTTACAATAGAAGCATCAACACACTAAGGCGTTGATATATATAAAAACTTATATACACACACAAATGCTATTATTTAATATTATGAAAGATAGATGTAGTTATATCACTATTATTTCTTGTTTTGTGGTATAGGATTTGCTCATTGTTGAAGGTCGTTAATGACATGCGGTTGTTTATTTTGACGTCATTTGGTATTGGGAATCATACCACATCTAAGTCTGAGCATTATATATTATTAAGCAGTTGTATCTAATGGAGGAGTTAACTTTAATTTCACTGTGTGCCTAACTGGGTACTAATGACCCTTAAGGCTACCATCAGCAGTTGTATCTAATGGAGGATTTAACTTTAATTTTACTGTGTGCCTAACTGGGTACTAAAAATGTTATTTTTTTCAAATCCCTGATCTTAAACAAAATGTATTTCTAATATCTCTGTTGACAGTCTTTGATGTTATGTAACAATGTTATAATAAATGCATAGATTCGACGAGGACATGCTGCTTTTATAATGTGTAAAGGCACATATGTGAAACACTTGTCATATCGGAACTGTACCGATAAATTAGTATTATTGGTGTAAATATATCTGAAGCTATTGGCCAATGACAAGTTATACATTGACTTGATGTCAAACACAAACGGACCACACTCGTATCTAAATGGAATGTTTAACATTACCGAGTATACTTTAAACTCAGGTCTGAAAATTATATATATATATTTAAAAAAGATGCCAAATACAGTCCTTGAATGGTGTAAACTTCCCACTAACACCATACACTATTGCACCACACACCCTGTGCCATTACACCATACACGTTAAACCTTTGCACCATACACCTTACACATTACACCATAATGCAATTTAATTTCAAAGAAAGCGTGCGACTACAAAATTATTTTTTTATTTTAAAAAACGAATTTTGATCACAATATTGTAAATTAATGTATAAAATTAAATATCAGTTCTTATCAATATTTTGCATAGTTTTAAATGTCGTAAACCATTCATTCATACCATTCCAGATCGCACGTTACACCATTACACCACTCAGCTTACACCATACACCATAGCAACATACACCTTCTACCATTGCACCATATGCCATACACCATTACACCATACACGTTTTTTTGGGAAGTTTATCAAAAAACTAATGTATTACTATAGGTGAATGGCTATTCTTCTGGTTCTCACTCTTCAATAAATCATTGTATCTCTGTCTGCGGTACACACATTCAGGGACGATATCATCCATCGACTAGACGATGGTTAATCAAGAGCACAAAATTGTTTCTCCTTGCAATTGATCAGTTTCTTCTTAGATGAAGCCTAACTCAGTTTAATTTTCTACCTGCAAATTTAAAAAGAAAGAGTGCTATATAACTTTAGTTCCTGAAAAGGCAATGCCTTGATTTTTCTAAACGCAGATACCTTAATACACAAAGAAAAGATGTTAATTTCTCCACTTTACGCATGGTTTATTTCAGTCTTCAGAAATTTGTATGTCACAAAAATCCAAAGACATTTATTGAATGAAGCCTAGTTAATTATTTGAAATATCAACATCTTTATCTTCACCAGAAATTCAAAGATAATAGATGTCTGTATTGAATAAAATCGTATAACAGGATTGATGGTGTAACCAATGGACAACTGAAATATAAATCTGTTTGGAATAATTGTTCATTTGTTTACCTTTCTTCTGTCATGGTGTAGCATTCAGGGTACAAGCTTCCATGTGACTTCTTTCTTTGATATTGGAATCTGTCATTTTGAAATGAAAAAAAGAAGGGAAATATGAAGTTCTTTGTCCTTTTTTACCCGTATCAACCACATTTTAGAATATAATTTTAACTTATGCTTCTTTCTCAAAACTTCAGTTCATCCTATTTCATCATTTATAAAACTAACATAATTTTGAAAATTTTGAAAATATTTCCTTTAATTATAATTGCAATTTTGATGGCTAGTTAACGCAACGTAATATACTTGCCAACAATTAACTTTAAATCTAAAACCAAATTCACCATTAAAATTTTCTTACCCGTCAAAGGTTGGCAGAGATAATATTTTCCAGGTAGTGTCAATTTCAGGAAAGATTCCTCTAAATTTGACGTGTTGCATTCCAGTAAGTTATGCTGTCCAACTTCTAAGGTGCATACACGTGTTGTTATGACACTACACATGAACCCTACATAACCTTCTTTACAGGTACTATTCACCAGAGCTTGAAAGGTAATAGAGCAACTCGCATTGCCTCGGTCTTTAAATTGATTGTGGAAAATAGTTTAACACCAATTACCTACATATGCAAAGAGTAAACAAATGTGAAACAATTAAGAAGAACAAAAATCCAGCTTAATTCATGGCAAAACAATAAATCCTTAACATATCTGACAGACAGCAACCAACGACTACCACTGAATTATGGACTAATGTTTTGGGGGTTAACATATTTGTGAGCGCTCAGTCCTCAGCTAACAAGGAAAGTGGTGTTAGGGTAACACTTTGTTCGTTAAGTATGAAAATATGTACAATTCTATTTATCTAATTGTTTCATTTTTCAAAAAAGTTATGTATATTCAGGTATACAATTATAACAGTCTAGTTGTTACTTTTTTGTATAATGTTTGAGTATATATGTATACAATTATAACAGTCTAACTGTTAATATTTGCAGAATGGTTAGTATATTTGTGTAAAATTATGACAGTATAATAACACAGAATTCCTAAAATACAAGATACTATATATTGACGAGACATATAATGGTATATTTTGTATGGATGACTGAAAACATTACTATGATATGTTTTAACTACGAAAATATACAATAGTATAATTACTTACATTTTTTTTTAGAGTCATCGGCTGCTCGACTTCCCAATAATTCTTTATCTTTGACACAGTGAACTTTCAAGTCACAGAAACAAAATGATGGAAGAATGCTTCCATCTGTACATTTCTCGCACGCATGACTACCTAAACGAAATACACAATTATTTGGTTATAAATAATTTTAAAGATATTTAAATAGTAGTTCATATTGCATTTTCCCTTTGTCAGTATGTGGGTGTAGAACACAATATGAATATCGGTATATATTGTATATTAATCAACCTTTTGCTCTTGCATAAATGAAAATAAAAATGAATTTAATTGTTAAAATATGTACTTGTTATAACGTGTATGATCATCAAAAAATGAGACTAATCTAAACAAAGATTAGAAATTTTAAAATGTCAACTTTATGGCATAAAACTTTTTTTCGAAAAAATTATTGGTTTTGCCCTTCTTCTCTCATATCCCCGCCAGCCTGTTATGTCTAATAACATGTCAATATATGTATCGATCAAATACAAATAGTTCAATGACAATTGTTTAGATATATTGAGTAAAAAAAAATACTCAAGTGATTAAACTTTCATGAAAATGAAAATGTGAACAATGTAATATTAATAATACCAAATTGATTGAATTTATAATATCATTTATCTTACGTTTCAAAGAACAAATGAATAAAAAAAAATCTTGGTGTATTGTATCAATAGCCAAGTGCAATCAGATTTGGGCATCAAGGGAAAAATATGGTCTGTGGTATTGTCCAATACTTTAGTCCAATATTTTATGAAATTGAGGGTCACAAAATTTCTGTACGTTCGTCCGTCAGCAGCTATTTCAAAAAGAGGCTGCATATTAAAACATGTGCTTTATGTAGCGCCCCCATATTGATTACAAAATTCCTAAAAGTTTCATGTCAGATATAAACCTATGTACTGTACAAAACTATTTTCTACGTATTTCTAAAATTTACAAACATGTTGTTAAAAGACTTACAACCAAAAGTTATAATATTTCATTGTACCATAAAGTCATGTATGCTGCACATAAATGTTTTTATGGTAAACTGAAGTCAAATAAAAACTAACACAAGTTATGATGATGCAGGCCACAGATGTGACAGTGAATGTTTCAAAATCAATCATATCGAAAGATACATGTATAAAATTAGCATACACTACAAATATAAGTACCAATTGTGAATTTAAATGTACAATACTTTCATTACAATCTGAACCCATAAGCATATTACGTTATAAGTGAAAAAGACAAATGTCATCAATTATATCCTTTTATTGTATTGTCTAAAAAGTCCTTTATGTGAACAGAAATTGGCGGGAAAGGGATTTTGCATTAATGATGGTTTGGTGCTACACATCCAATGACAACTATTAAATACTTATCAGGACGAGAACATGTTTCTGTAATCCTTGCTTTGTATTTGAAGTAAAGTCTGATATCAGGGTTTCTTTTTAAAGTGATAGTTCACATAGTAACAGTCCACGAAGACATTTCACCTCACAGTTTTGTTCTAAAGCCGTGTGCATAGCAAACACTAATTTTTAAGTCTTTAGTTTGACGCCGGGGAACCAGCACGCAAGACTAGATTTGGCTATATTATCTCGGTACCACTAGACTAACGAGGCGGTACCTCTTAGTTACAATTATATTATGTATAAACGATAAGTGCTTAAACTGAAAAAAAATACAAATGTTGTTATGGTAACATGGTTTAATGTCAATACACTGTGTGTCTACACCGCAGCTAATGCCCCTTTAAAATTATGTTCTTACCATCTCTAATCTATTCAATATTTAATATTGGGCCCATTCTAGTCTAGAGGCGTGTTTCAGCTGGGAATACATGTAGTATACTGACAAAACTATAATAATATATTATGTCCGACCATAACACCAGATCAACCAACCTGATAAACTGACTGTTTAATTCTCGTGGCTATATAAATACTTTGTTTATGGATATTGTACAAATCAAACTTATAATTGATATGTATGTTGTAGCAATGTCTTTTTTAATACTAGTACGTTATGAAATGTGGTCGCATTATCTATTTCTGTAAAAACCTTTGATAAGATCGTTCTATTATAGTTACCTAGGTACGTGTTTTTACTAAGTTAATACAAAGATCTAGATAATAAACGGTTGACACAAAGATATGTATCGCCTTTCTGTAATTTGTATAGTATAATGCAAAGGTTGAAATCAAAATAGTAATAAATATGTAAACTATGCAAGACATTCATAGTCAATGAACAATGACTAAACGGGCAGAACAAAATAATCTCCATGGAAATGAGATGTGCCAATACTAATACAACTGCATACTATATATCAATGATTTACCACTTGTGGTTCCCCTTAAACTGACCTAATCACAAATAAATACATGTTAAACAAGCATTCTGTGAGTATTGCCTGGCAATACATAGTCCCCTACCGGTTAAAAATTCATTGTACTGAAACAAAATGCTAACTTGATCTATAACTTGTCATTGTGTAAACTATTTAACAAATATCAAGTCAATATCTTCATGCATGACCAAAAAAAGTGAGGAAAACTGATTATTTGAGTGAATTATCTAGTCCAAGGATCATAACTCTGCACAAAATCATTAGACTGGACCAAAATTCGAACTTGATCTGTAACTTGTCATGACAAAACTATATACCAATCATCAAATCAATATCTTCAAGCATGACAAACTAGAGGCTCTAAAGAGCCTGTGTCGCTCACCTTGGTCTATGTGCATATTAAACAAAGGACACAGATGGATGCATGACAAAATTGTGTTTTGGTGATGGTGATGTGTTTGTAGATCTAACTTTACTGAACATTCTTGCTGCTTACAATTATCTCTATCAATAATGAACTTGGCCCAGTAGTTACAGTGGAAAATATTTTGTAAAAATGTACAAAAATTTACAAAATTTATGAAAATTGTAAAATATTGACTATAAAGGGCAATAACTCCTTAAGGGGTCAATTGATAATTTTGGTCATGTTGACTTATTTGTAGATCTTACTTTGCTGTACATTATTGCTGTTTACAGTTTATCTCTATCTATAATAATATTCAAGATAATAACAAAAAGCTGCAAAATTTTCTTAAAATTACCAATTCAGGGGCAGCAACCCAACAACGTGTTGCCTGATTGGTCTGAAAATTTCAGGGCAGATTGATCTTGACCTGATAAACAATTTTACCATATCAGATTTGCTCTAAATGCTTTGGTTTCAGAGATATAAGCCAAAATCTACATTTTACCCCTATATTCTATTTTTAGCCATAGCGGCCATCTTGGTTGGTTGGCCAGGTCACCGGACACATTTTTAAACTAGATACTCCAATGATGATTGTGGCCAAGTTTTATTTAATTTGGCCAAGTAGTTTCAGAGGAGAAGATTTTGGTTAAAGTTAACGACGACGGACGACGACGACGATGGACTACGGACGCCAAGTGATGAGAAAAGCTGTCTTGGCCCTTTGCGCCAGGTGAACTAAAAAGTGCGGAAAACTGATTTTTTGAGTGAATTTTCTAAGTTCAAGGACCATAACTCTGCACAAAATCGTCAGACCGGAACAAAATTCAAACTTGATCTGTAACTTGTCATGATAAAACAATACACCAAATAGCAGATCAATATCTTCAAGCACGAAGAAAAAAATTGTGGAAAACTGCTTTGCCGGACTGACGGATGGTCAGACAGACAAACAGAGTGCAATCCTAAAGTCCCCTTCGACTTCTTCGGTAGGGGACAAATAAGCAAATGTTTCAAAGTCAATAGAAAATGACTGAGGGGACATTTGAAATCAAATAATCTCCGTGAACATGAGATGTGCCAATGTTCATACAACTGCATACCAAATATTGACCTACCATTAGTGGTTCCCCTTAAATTGTCCTAATACAAACTATTATATTGTTGACACCACCGATGACACCAACGCCGAAGCCGCTTCAGACACAATACACAGCAAACCTCATTCTCAATTCTTCTACTTCGTCGGTGCGTGACTTAAACCGGACATTACAATTGTCTTATTGTCGGTTACCCTCTTTCTGTAACAATAGCTTTTACGGGTTTTAATTTCTACGATTTGCAAAATATATTGTCCTTAATGGGATAACATAAAAACTGGTGTACTCTTAATCTAAAAACAAGTCATACAATATAAGGAGAAAGAAGGATCTGTAACCTAACACGTCTTATGTTCTTAGGTTGCTATTATGAACGATGAAGAATCTGATCTCATTCAATCTTTTTTTAAATTCCTATCACAACAATATATCTCCTATGCTTGACTGTACTTTGTAAAGGATATAAGCCGATAACAGTCCATTCTGTAAAATATTGGACCTGTCTAATAATTTTCAGAATGGACTGTTAGAGGCTTATATCTTACTCAAAACATTGTTTAACATGTGTAAAAGGTGAAAAAAGCAAACTTTTGTTAGGATTTATTTTCATCAAGTGTGTAAATTGCTTTATGGATAAACTTTATTAATATTACCCTTCAGTTTGGCCCCTTTAAACAGTAGCTCAACTTAAACAATAGACAAAAAAAAAAGTACAGCTGAAGGTAAACAACATGTATAGCTACAGGTACATGAAGACACAGTGCATGTGTATCATACTTTTTGCGTGCGCTAGGACTACATCATATATTTTCCGTGAATACCTTCACATGCGTTTGGTGTCTCAAAATGAATTAAGACGTTGAAAGTATATTCTTAATGCAAAAAAAGAAGAAATTGATGTCGTATATTTAGTAATTGTGTTGTTTCAAACACTGGATTTAAATCAAAAGTGTATTCAGATGTATCCGATTTCAGTGCGGGCAACAAGGAGGATATAGTTATAGCAGCTAATAAAGGCAAGTTTTATACAATCTACATATCTTAAAATGTAGTCATATCCTATCACTTCGTTTTTCCTTCTGGGGTTTTATTTCTTATGAGGTGAATGAGGAAAAAAAGAAAAACACATGAAGCTTGAAGACCGGTTTATGTTGCAGATAAAGATACCCCAATCCCCTTCTCTTTTCTGTTTTTTTTTCTGCAAGGTTCTTGTCGCTCTTTTCGCTGTATATTGCTGTCCTTGTAGGTTTTATTATTATGTTCGATTTGTGAGTTGGAATGTCCATTTTGGATCCTTTGCCTCTGTTTTTTTACGATTTTTTATTCTTTCAAAACAAAGCATTGCAGGTGTATATATCTTTGTTTCTGTGCTTAATGTACAAGTATTGCATTCAACCAGTTCTACCTTTGCGATCTAAACTAAAGGGATTTTTTTTAAACTGTTCATAGATACATTGTAATGAAACAAATGTAATTCATATTTTGATGTTACATATAGTAAAATACTTTTATTTAACCCACCACCCCTTTTTCAATCAATTCAATACAAGCAAGGTTTTTATGTTCAAATTTATATTACACAATTACAAACTGTCTAAAACGTATATTCAACAAACTTATGGTTAAATCTAACACCTACGTTTATTTAAATTCAAGAAAGTACATCGGTTTCTAACAAATCGTCCACTATGAACAAAGTGCAAATCGGACTTACGATTTATTTCTTTAACCTGGGGAAACGTGTTCCTTTTTTTCTGTTACACATATTCGTCGTCGATAAGCGAAGTTTCACATAATATTCCTATACAGACAATAATATCAGATTTTTAAATAAAAAAAAACTTGCAAATCAACGCCGACAACTGAAAACTTAAAAAACCTGTTGTTGACCCCTAGTTCATGAAGCAAGTTCTCGATTTGCACTTTATACACAGGGTGAGGTTTAGGTTGTTTATCAAATTTTTGATTAGCTATGTTGTCCAAGGAACAATATGTGGCTTGCACATCAACAATTGGTAAATCATCTATTTCAGACGAACGATTTTCTCCTAATTATAATTAAAAATTATTTTACTTGTGGTCCTTGTATTGCGACATGATACGTTAAGCGTTAGAAGATTTCTTTGTTTTGTTCTTATTTTATTTGTAGCTGAAAAAGATATAAGGGAGAATGAGAGCATCACCAGAGATCAATTTTTATATCCAAAAACGGACGACGATAAATCTTTTGAAAAAGGAAATGCCTAAAAGCACTAAAAACAAAACTTACAACAAGCATTATTAACCAAATTGATGCTTAAAGAGACAACCCAAAAAATGAGAAATATAGCCATGAAATAAGTATTGACGCTGGCTGTGTTAAACTCCGTTTGATAGGTGTTTTTTTTCAAGAAACCGTTTTGATGAGTGACAAAATTATTGTATTGGAAGGTGACCTTAATAAAATGTTTTTGTGTAAATGTCATTTGTTCTTTCGTTGTAATTTTTTGGCATATGAAGAAACAAATTATGTTAATTGATTGATTTTTTTTATCTGTCCTTGAACGATCATCTACCTGTAAGAATCAATTATGCTACCTTCAGCTGTCCAAATTTTTAAGAAAGGGGAGGGTTATTCTTAAAAATATTGGACAGTTAAAGGTAACATATTAGTTTCTTACAGGTAAATGATAGTCCAATCACTGAAATAAAGAACGGGTACAACAATAGAATGACGTCACAACAATGTTTTAAAACTAAAGATGAGTTGACTTTGGTATACTAATCTATGGCAACTGACCTTTATTAGTGTTGTGTGTTTTGTAAATTTTGGTCTATTTATATGTTTCGGAGTTAAGTGTGACGTTCATTTTCGCTGAACAAGTATATATTATTGCTGAGGGGCCAGCTGAAGCCCCCCTTTGTGTGTAGGATTTTATCGTTGTGTTGAAGACCCATTTGTGGACTTGGGCTGTTTTTCTGCTCTTTGGTCGGGTTGGTGTCTCTTTGATGCATTCCCTGTTTCCATTCTCAATTATATATATATATATATTTTAATGAAATGACTTACTTGATTCATCTTTACCAATGATACAGTACTTGTTGACAAATTCTGATCCTACAAAATATCAAGCAATAGTTCAGTTGAGACCTTATAGTTATTTTATTTGTTCACAATGATTTAAGGACAAGGTAAATTAATCACAAAGTCAGATAACTATCTGATGAACAAGATCAGTAGCCAAACGTTTTTCAAAATCATATTTTATTTACTAGTATATGAAATATTACCATCAAATGTGACATTCAATTAGTTACAATTATACGATATTAACAATGCACCATCAATTATTTTATTCTATGGTAAATCAATCTATATTAAGATACTTGCCAATTTCGCATAATCCCATAAATGGATCTTTTTTAAGTTTCGTCACAAAATCTAAAATTTCAAACAATTTTGTCAAATATTAATTGTCTGCAATAAATAATTATATGCTAAGTGGTACTTTTCTGTTCTTTTGTTTAGCTCTTTCCTAATTGTTTCAGTGTTTAATTGACCAGTTGTTTCAGTGTCTGATAATTGTTTCATATTTCCCCATTTGTTTCTGTGTTTAACCCACCAGTTGTTTCAGTGTCGGATAATTGTTTCAGTGTTTCCCATTTGTTTCTGTGTTTAACTGTCCAGTTTTTCAGAGTTTGCCATTTCTTTAAGTGTTTGTCGTTTGGTTCTGTATTTACCAGTCCAGTTGTTTGAGTGTTTGCTGTTTGTTTCTGTGTTTAGCTGTCCAGTTATGTCAATGTTTGGCAATTGTTTCAGTGTTTGTGCGTTGTTTCAGTGTTTATCTTTTGCTTGCCTTTGTGTTTACCTGTCCAGTTGTTACAGTGTGATGCTTGATGCATTACCTGTTTCCTGCTTTTAAATCTGGTTGCATTTTATGCATAATATAAGTTTGTACGATTTTTCTGTTAAATTTGATTGTTCACTGGCAGATCACTCATACACGTTACTGCACGAAACACCGCCAGCCAGTGTAAGATTTTTCTTATTTTCTCACTCTCGAAAAAAAAAGAAAAATCCTAAATATTCTTTTGATTGCCTTTTTGGTCATGGTATTATCTGTTTTTCTTCGATTCGGTGTTTTGATTGTTCCCTTTGTATATTCTTCCTGTTATTTATGACTTCAGATTATGAAAATATATCCTTCTCGGTAATTTTAGTGTGTTCCATACATTATTCGATCGTGAAATATTATTTTCCCTTTAAAATTATTTGAACAAGAAATACAAATAATGAATTATGTTGTATCGCTATCTACCATAATATGCATGAAACAGTACTCACATTCCGGTGTATTGTGAATGCACTTATTTGCAGCTGTAACTAAAAAAGAAAAGAAATTTAAACACTTCCGAGCTACTGATCATATTTTTTTTCTGTTTTTTTTCCCCCCAAATTTTAGGCTTTTATATTATCGTTATTTTATTTGTTCACAATGATTTTAGGATTAGGTAAATAGTTCACAAAGGTAAATAATTCACAAAGTCAGATAACTATCTGATGAACCAAATTTGTAGCCAAATGTTTTTTTTTCCAAAATCATATTTTATTTACTAGTATATGAAATATAACCGTTTAATGTGATAATCCATTAGTTACATTAAAGTTATTACCAATGCATCATCATTTATTTCCATGGTAAACCAGTCTGATCATGTTATTTTTCTGTGTAAAATACATTTTTGTCTGAAATGTTATTCCAAGAATACTTAAAATGTTTTGCTATTTGTTTCAGTGGCCACTGCACTTTTAAGGTTTGTTATAAACTAAATACAGAAACTACTTCGTTTAATATTTTACTGTACAGTAGTGTTGGGGTTTTTTTTTGTGGAAAATAATTACAATATAACCTACTGTTTGTATCAGTCAAACTAGATGGTGGAGAAACTTTCCTTTGTGGATTTTCAATCACGATATACACTATTATCCCTATTATTACAAATACAATGACCTAAAATATTGAAAAAAAAAAAAAAAAAAATAAAAAAATAATAATGTTATCAGTATATATTTATAAATTATATGTAGTTTTTAATGTTTGCATAGAAAACAATATATATTTAGGTGAACTGATTCGTATTTGAACCTCATCGTTCTTTTTTTTATGTAATTTAGGTGGATGCATATTTCCAGTATAAGATATAGAATTAAATAAAATGTTTATTTTTTCAGCATATTGACAGTTTTTGTAATCGTATTTATGTGGCATTATAAAGACGAAATTGAACTTACCGAAGCTATACCAATGCACTGAAAAAGAAGATACTAGTAAAGCAAACACAACAAAAATAGATGAATCATTTCACTTGCTAGTTTAATACCATATCCCGGAACTATAATAAGCAACGAAAAATCAATGCGACATAAATTATTCGCAATGTATACGAAACTTAATATTTAGATTATTAACGAGGTGTAAACTGTAGGTCAAGATGATGATGCAGCGGTTAATTAAGGGCATACGATACAGTTACATGGGAGGTAATGACGTTGCTAACGTCAAATTGTAACATATCAAGAAAAGATGCATTTTTCGAGTGATTTTAATCATTAGCTTCAAAACGAGTACATGGACCCCCTCTGTTTTAAAATGACATTTGATTATATACTGTATGAAGATTATTTGTTCCAATTTTTATGATAAAAAAATCACCGATGATTTTTTTTTAAATTAGATAAATATGCATAAAAAAATCAGTTTTTTTTTCTAAAATCATGAAAATTTGATAAAAATTAATTATTCAAAAAGAACTGTTACACAAATTAAGAGTATACTTTAGTAAAGAAGATATACCTAATCTTTACAAAAATCCACATTTGTTTATCTTATCCAGAAACCTCAATTTCAAGCAAATGTCTAAAATTTTGACCCGAATTTTTCTCTAAATTTAGTGCATGAAGGTAACTTTTTATTACATATTTTAATTGACTAAGTGGAAAATAGCTTGTATGCACATTTTCGTAAAGTTTTGTACTAGACCGACACACTGAGCCGGATTTTTAGCGTGCTAGTTCACAAGGTATCAATCAGTCCACAGGAATACATGTCACCCTACCCGGACACATTATTCTGAATCCGAGCCGACCAGTTTTTGCTATTACTCCTTAATGCTGCATGCTTAGCGGAGAAGCAGCAAATACCAATTTTAAAGTCTTTGGTTTGATCCGGCTGGGGTAGATACCAGGAGTGGCCCTCCCACACTCGAGGCGAACACTACCAGGAGACCAACGAGGCAGCAAGACATTTATAAACTTCTTTAAATACACCCTTACAAAGTTATGTATGAGTGTTGGTCACTTAGTATCTGGGATAAAGGTTAATTTGAAGTATAACTAATATTTTTTGAGATGCTCCTTTAAAATTTTGCATACAAGCTATTTTTCACCTAGTCAATTCAAATATGTAATAACAAATATATCTTCATGTGCTAATTTCAGAGATAAATAGTCAACATTTTGAGCATTTAATTGTAATTTCGGTATCTTGAACATAGCTTTCCCTTGGAAAGGCAACTTTAACTTTTTTGTTTCAATAGATAAACATAATCGGGTTTTTGTAAAAACATTTGGAATATCTTCTCTACATAAGTGCGCTTTGAATTTGTGTAACAATTCTTTGGAAGTAATTCATTTTTGTCACATGATTTTAGTTAAAAAAACGGTATTTTTTTTGCTGTATATTTATATATTTAAAAAAACAGTTTCATCGGTGGTTTGTTCATAAACATTGGCACAAATAATCTTCACACATAATCAAGCTAAAAGTAATTTCCATAAAGAGGGTTCCATAGTCGTACAATGTAGGTCGGTTTGAACTTACCTACGTATTGTGTGACGCTGCTTCATGTAATATCACCCATATGCCTCCTTACAGAAAGTAATAATAGATCACGCAGTTTAAAATTGATTTTGAACGTATACTTAAAATCGGAAATGGTATATTGATTAAAGTCTTAGAATCGTAAAATATTTGTCATTCGCCATTCATCTTATAGCAATTTTTATATATGACTGTCTGTCTATTAGTCTTTTCGGTTGGCTTCAAACGCACGCCGACGTTATCTAACGCCGAAGGTAAGTTCTTATAGTTCACTTCAACATAATTCGGGCGATCTTCCGAATAGGCATGAAAATATGGTACTGGACTTAAGGTAATCAATCAATCAATCAATAGTAGACATACACCGCATCAACCATACTTTTTCTTCTTACGTTTAATGGATATAAGTTTCTTATTATCATTCAAAGTTCATTTTAAAAGGTAAGAGCATATTTTGTTCGTTTAAATCTTCCAACAACCCATACAAATATCTAACGACACTACAAACTCTTACAAAAACAAAATTTGTTTTGGTCATTCACATTCTAACGTTTCTACGAATTTATAATTTCTTTTTTTTTTTAAAATGTTTGACTATGAGCGTTCCTGATGAAGGTAAATCCAGAAAAGCGCTTCGGATGCACGGTGTTTTTTAAAGTAAATAATTTTCTGCTGGGGAATTAAGTAGGGAAATTGCGATCCCAAATAAAATTACGTGAAACTGAGCGTCATTTGTATTTACTTACTTTGAAATGCTTACGACAAAAGCTAAATCTTCGGTTGATACTTGTATTACCAGTTGCGGTATCCCTTGTGGTATCTTTTGTGCTTTCTTTGTCATAACTTCCGTTTGACATCATGGAATACCTGAAATTTCACCATACCTTTAAAATGAATCCTTTTTTGTGTGTTTTTGGTTGTTGTAAAATATTAGTGAAAGAACTATTTTTTGCCATGATAGAATGACTATGTGTTTACCACCGACTTTAGATTCTGGAAATGTTACTATGTAAACTATATATCTATAAATATACCTTTGACTTGAGACAGTTTGACATTGTTGATATACAATGAATTGTTCAAATCCAATAATGAAAACAGCTTTATTACCATTAACACATACTTGCTATTTTCATTGATGATTGCACATTACCACTGAGTAAAAAAGTTTGTTTTTGTAAGAATGTTCAGGGTATATCACTTAATTGCATGGGTTGATGAAATATCTGACCGAATAATCAAAATTCTGATTATTCCATGATTTTCAATATCAACATGTTTATCTCTGGTTATCACACTGAAAATACTAGATAGGATATAAGTTTTGTGTTCTATAATACCTACATAACCTTAAAATGGAATTCGGAAGTATAGAATAAACATTGTATTCCATATAGACACGGCATGCCCAGACTTCAGAATCAAAATGCTGTGTGTTGGAGATTTGGTGCATACCTAGAGGCATTAACCCTGTATCACACTAGGTTATCTGATAGAGAAATTGTGTCGTAATTTTTTCACATGTACAGACAGAGTTGGTGGTGTACCATCTTACACAGTCTACCGGAATTATTTTTTGCTGTGCATGTACTGGTTGTGTGTCATTGATGGATACCTCATATCTTTTCTTTTCTATTGCATACATGAAATATATTAATGTTACTGTTTGGTACGATTATTTTAACCTGTCCATCTATCAATAATATTATCATAATTTTGACAGGTTTAAATACGTTTACATATCTTGTATTTTCATAGCCCAAATAATGGTTCTTAGCAGACCCCCTCCTTTTCATATGTCTTACAATGTTGTGATAATTTCAAGATTAAGATGTGTGGTACATAAGCAAATTAAGACTTTCGTAATGTTGTCACAATTTCGATGAATGATATATTATTAACGACTGTTTGCCGGGAAAAAAACAAGAAGCGAAGCTATCTATGTACATGTAACTCTACATAAATGTATGTGTGTGATGAGACATTTTGCATGAATATTAGAAAAAAAACAGACACTTCTTACAATAAAGGTATTTCTCGTCAGCATAACTATAACGTATAATATGTGAAACCCTTTTTTTTTATCAAACCCCACAGGAGGCTCAAAGGGCAGACTCTTCAACCAGTCGATTGGAAGTCCGTAGGGGACGGTAATTTGTAACTCCAATGGCGGGACATTGAGGTATATAAAGGGGGCATTGAAAATTTTGGGAATCAAATGCGGTATCTAATTTTTCACTAATTCAGGAAGAAGAAGATCGAAGAAGATGTTTTATTTACATTAAATGGGCTCACAAAGAGCATATTACAATAGAATCATGTGCATAACAGCGTAGACGAGACCATTGATTGGCGCGCTAAAATATCCCATTGACTGCGTCAGATTAGGTGAACGTTCGTCTGTAACGCCCACTATTCACGACGTATTTGTTATAGACATTTAAACTGTGGGGTCACCAAAGGGTCTCAACGCCTAAATAAAATGATTCGAAAACAAAACTAATCAGGAATAACCTTTGTGTTTTGATTTATATTGAATACTTAAATGTTCTTTACTTGTGTTTTAGTTATGTTTTGATAATCAATTTTTATGATATCGCACGTTCTATAAACTAGATACCCTAAGGAACATTCAGTTAAAGTTTGAGGGTATTTGGCCCAGTAGTTTCAGAGAAGAAGATTCTTGAAATAGGTTACGACGACGGACGCCAAGTGATGGCATAAGCTCACATGGGGCCCTTCGGGCCCCAGTGAGCTAAAAAGAACATAGTTCCAATGTTTCCCGCGTTGTACATATTCTATATATCCAAGGTACAAGGGCAATAACTAAAAACAATAACACTGCGTTGCTGATATAAACCTATGATGTAAGTTTCATAAAATTCGGGAAAGAATTGTACACTTGAGAGCACTAACAACGCAATTTTCCATATAATCTATATTTCTAAAGGGCATTACTCTTTTATAAATAATTGATCGGCACTGATTTTCGAACTCGTCCAAGACATTGCTAATATAAACATATGATAAAAGTTTCATAAAAATCCGGCAAGAAAGGTGTACATCAAAGCGCTAACGATGCAATTTTCCATATAATTGATGTTTCTAAGGGCATAACTCTTATAAAAATTATTGATCGGCACTGATTTTCGAACTCGCCCAAGACATTGATAATATAAACCTATGAAATAAGTTTCATAAAAATCTGGCAAGAACTGCACCCATGAGAATGCTAACGATGCAATATTTCATATAATTAATGTTTCTAAGGAGCATAACTCTTTTAAAAATTATTGATCGGCACTGATTTTCGAAAGTATCAAAGACATTGCTAAAACAAACCTATTAAATGATATTCATTTAATCTGACAAGAATTGTGCACATGAGAGCGCTAATGATGCAGTTTTCCATATAATTACTGTTTCCAAGAGGCATACCTCTTTAAAATAAAATTGATCGGCACTGGTTTTCATACTCGTCCAAGACATTGCTGATATAAACCTATGATATAAGTTTCATAAAAATCTGGCAAGAACTGTATACGTTAGAACGCTAACGATGCAATTTGTCATATAATTAATGTTTCTAAGGAGCATAACGCTTTTAAAAAAAATTGATCGGCACTGATTTTTGAACTCGTCAAAGAACATTGCTGATATAAATCTATGATATAAGTTCATAAAAATCTTGAAAGAATTGTGCACATCAGAGCGCTAACGATGCAATTTTCAAAATAATTAATGTTTCCAAGGGCTTAACTCTTTTTAAAAATAATTGATCGGTTCTGATTTTCGAACTCGTCCAAGACATTGCAATATAAACCTTTAATATAAGTTTTATAAACATCTTGCAAGAACTGTATACGTGGGAGCGCTACAAGACCGGACGAACAGATGCATGGACGGACGGACGGACGGACGAACAGACAGACGGACGGACGGACGGACGGACGGTTTATGTGTGAATCAGATATTTTTTTAGTTTTCGACGCTATCAATCAAATATTTTTTTTTAAATTTAACACTATAAGGTATGGGGCGAAATCTGGATTCAGAATATTTTCTTTGGTCATCTCCTTGTTAGCAATATTTTATATTTTTGTTCATCAAATTAGGGATCAGAATAATTATAAGAAGTTAATAACTTACCTTGGCTTCTAATATTTCTAAACTAGTCTAAGCTACCAAAAGTAAAATCACTTGTCGAATTTGGAAATTTTCTAGGTTATAATATATATACCAAATTGTTAAATGAGTGGGAACTTTCTGTGTTTATTTTCTTTTAGAGAGATAAGGCGCAAACTACTTAAACCTTCTGTGTACCTAAAATTCAAAATACACTTACCTGGTGCACTTGAGTCAATGTCAACATAACATTAATTCCCAGATTCTAAGTATAACAAAAAAAACCAAGATCTACAAATAACATAAAACATTCCATTCTATTTATTTTTAGAATATAGCAAAGTACTCTCCACCAATGAAATTGCAGGACTTGTTGTGCTTTGAATGTAAATCACGTTCTTAGTAAGTGATTGTCCTATTGTTTACACCTACTACAAGTTAAAATCATAAAATTTCAATAAATGAGTAACAACTGCCCGAAAAAAACATTTATCAGCTGGAATGGTTTACATTCTATTATTGCAATTGATTAAAAATTGTACATAGTTCGTTCCGAACTTGCCAGGCTGTCATGCATTAAATAATAGGATAATGTTTAATATCCAGCAAATCTGGGACCATTTCATCACTTCAGAAGCAAGTTTAGTTCACCAAATATATAACGCTACAAAAATGAACAACCCTTGGGTAAAAGGGTTAAATATTAGTATTCAAACTTTAGGTTTATCATACAAATACGAAGGGGGCAAAGGGGATCCAATAACAAAAAAAAAAAACAAAAAACAGCCAATTGATTTGGCTTAAAACAGATAACAAGAAATTGAAAGGGACAGTAAATTATGAATTGCTCGAATTTAACATTTACGTATTGGGATACAGGGAACATTATCCCAATACCACGGCGGGTAAGGTTGTCCTGCGAGAGAACGTTCTGTGCTGGTGATTTGGTCCTGACTGCATGGTGCTGGTGGGTCCTGATTCTGTGCTGGTGGGTTTGTTTCATTGCATCAGAACAACAATAAAACATCCATTTTATTGTTTAATTTTTTACTTACACGTTCAACGTACCTCGCGAGGTATAATACAACAAGTTTTTTATGCAAACGTCGAGCAAATTGGCAAATCGAAATTGTCCTGATGATGTGCTGGTGATTAGAAAAAATGTCCTGGTTCTGTGCACCTATGTCCTTTTCTGTGCTCTTAATGTTGGAAGAAAAAGTGGCAAATATTCAAGATCATTGCGGCAGAAAATTTGTGTAATTGATAGAAAAGACACCTAGTCCGTTTACTTTTTATGTCTACTGAAATTTCGGAGTTAACGCACAGTTAACGCGGCGTTTACTTGAAGTGCACGCGAGTAAACGCCGCGTTAACTTTTTCCGCCCGTCTACATGTAATGCTTGGTCTGCACCCAACTGTATATATTCAAACAAATATGCATCAGTCGCGGATCCAGGAGGTTTGAGGGATCACAGTAAGAAAATTGTTTAAGGAAGAAGAATTATCGCCCTTTAACTACGGTCTAGTGGTGAATAGCTCTGACGAAAAAATCATAAAAAGTATCTAGTTATAGAAGAGTAAGTTATCAGAACAATGTCTAACAACCAAAACATGATACCAGAACAGCAAAATGAAAACAACAAGCAAGATTCAGATGGTAAACAATCAGAAATTGACAAGTCTCAGTCCGTTGGTAGTGACAATACTTCGGCGCCATCTTTTTCCAATGTTGTCAAACATCATAGTGTAAATTATCAGGCCTACAGCGATCCTGAACCAAAGCTAAAAGGAGTAAAACCTATCTTTATAAAAGAATCAGACTTCTTTGGCAACAAAACTCCGCCTAAAGAACTTTGGATAACACACGTAGAAATATACAAAGCACTTGAACATAAGATAAAACCACAGCTTGTAAGAGGCATTCAAAGAATAAAACAAATGTGGAGAATCTACCTAGACAGTGAGGTAGACAGAATGCTGTTGCTTACAGAAGGCATCACATTAAGAAACAAGTCGGTACCTCTGCATTCCCAGAACCCATATTACCAAAAAGATGATTACATAACAACAACAGTACGGGTAAAAAACATCCCACTATCAGCAGATGATGGTCAAATTGACAGAGAATTAAGACAAAGAAACATAGAGGTTTTCACTATAAACAGAGAAAGACTCAGGGTTGATAACTTGGTAACCAACTGCTGGACAGGAGACAGAATAGTCATATGCAAAAAATTTGACAAACCACTCCCAAGGTTTCTTACAATAGGTCAATACACAGCAAGAATATATCACTTTGGTCAAATGAAAGATACAGACATGTTCTTGTGCAACAAATGTCAAATGAAAGGTCATAATATAAAAAACTGTCCAAATGAATGGAAATGCAGACTATGCAATGAATATGGTCATAAGATGTTTGACTGCCCAACCTTTTTGGCAAAGAAGATGGGAAAAAATTCTGAAACAGAAAGAGATGAGCAACAAGAAACAACAACAGCTAATGCTGATGAAAATACAAATACCGAAGAAAGCCAACAAATTCAAGCTCTTACAGAAAATAAAAAAAGAGATGATACTGATGAACAACCTGAACTAACAGATGGAGATGACGAAGACAATCTGACACATTCAATGTCATTGAACAAAGAAATAACAGCAGCAGATGCAAAAAAAGAAAAAAAGAAGGCAAAAAAGTCTGCAAAAAAAGAAGGAAACAAAACTTCAAGTGATTCTTCTAAACAACAGACATCAAAACAGACAGAAACAAAAAGAGATTCTTCATCTGCACAATCTGACATTTCAAAATTTTTAACCCCAAACAGTAAAACGAATGCTGCCAAGGAAAGAACCCCACCTACTCCCAATCAACCAGATGGGAAAAGACAATCAGTCCATCTATAAATTATAGAAACATTTTATGTATAACAAAAAAAAAACAAAAAAAAAAAAAAAAAATATGTATGTTTATATGTCTTGTCTCTCTTTGTATTTATGTCTGTGTGTATTTAGTATTTATAGAAAGATAATTGAATGGAATAAAGATTCCAAAACAAATGTAACAAGAGTAAATATAAAAAAAAAAAAGAAACGTGAAATTTTGCACATATTGCATTATACCATATATTTTCATGTATATGATACTATTAACAGAAGTATATTTGATAATACCAAAAACAAAAATTGTCAGAGATAAAAACACTTATATTAGAAAATTTAACCAGTCTTTTTTCTATTTAAAACCCTTTAGGTTTACAACTTTAATCTATAGTAGATGTACTCAACAAGATCAAAACAAAAGTAAAGATTTACTCACCTTAATAACTATTCTTAGTACATCTTCACAGCATAAATCCGATAAAGTAACTGAAAATAGAGAAAAGGAAAATATTATGCAAAAAGCAAATAAACAATGTAAAAATGTTATGAAAAACAAAATATCAAAAACAAACAGATCCGTTTCATCAGATTTCGAAATATTTGAAAATATAACCACATTACTAGCTGAGAAAATTAGAGACAGTATATTAGTTTTCCTCAGTCAAAACCATACATTTGTTTTAATTTGCACAAAGCAAAGAAATGTGTCAATTTGTAATTTTATTAATAGTTCTATGTATATGTTGTGTGATTTGTATTTCAGGTATGCAGTAATTGCTATGAACATATATTATATGTTTCAAAATTATCATCTCAATATTGGACAAATTCATTCGTGAAACAGACTATAACAATATTGTTGCAATCCAATTACACAAAAGAAAATTGATAAACGTAATCATTTTCACAGGTAACTCCCACGCTATAAAACGACGATTAAATGTGGGTGAAATAAAATGTACTTTAAAAACGCGACCCAACATAAAGTACACTTACTAATTAAAATAAACATAAAAATCAACTTTAAGTTACTTATTTTTTTTAATTGAAACATGTTAAATAACCTGCACATTTGTACAGCTAATGTTAAAGGACTTCGAGATAAACAAAAGAGATCGAGATTTTACCAATGGATAAAAAAATCAGAAATGTACAATATCTTTTATTCAAGAAACTCACTTCAATACATCTCTAGAAAACGTTCTAACTATCGAATCAGATCATTCTCTTTATTATAGCCATGGGACGACATCAAGCAAAGGGGTAGCTATATTGATTAATAAAAAAGTAGACTATAAATTAATAGATGAGCATAAAGATTTAGAAGGTCGAATAATCATGATAAATATCGAATTTGAAAATATAATTTATTCTCTTATAAACATATATGCCCCAAATATAGAATCTGAACGAAATAGCTTTTACAAAAAATTAAATGACTTTATAAACAAAAACGCAATAGGTACAATAATTCTAGGAGGAGACATGAATGATGCCCTTAAAAATGTAGATAGGAAAAGTTCAAATACTCGTAAAAAAGTTAGTAAACCAGTCAATAGCCTAAAAAATTTAATAAAATCAAATGACTTAATAGATATATGGAGACACGTTAACCCCCAAAAGATCCAATATACATGGAGACGTAAAAATCCAGTCCAGTCTAGTCGAATTGACATGTTCCTAGTCAAAAAAGATTTCATGTTAAACGTTAAGTCGTGTGATATTAGGCCTATTCTTATTAAAAGCACTGACCACCAAGCAGTTTCCATACAATTACAATCTGTCTCAACTGAAACTAGAGGCCCGGGTTACTGGAAAATTAATAACGGTATCCTCGACGAGCAAGATTATGAATGCAATATAAGTAAAATAATACAAAAACATAGTAATAAGATAGAAAAAAAGGAAATAGATCCAAGACTTCTGTGGGACTCCTTCAAATTGGAAATAAAGGAATATAGTATTAAGTATAGTAAAATTAAAGCAAAAAATAGGAAAAATGTAACACGTAATTTAGAATCACAACTAAAAATATTATATGAGAAATCAAATAATGAGGAAAATGATTTTATAAAAGAAAAAATATCCACATTAGAAAAAGAGCTAGAAAACCAATATGAATACAAAGCTAAAGGAGCTCAAATAAGATCAAAACAAGAGTGGGTAGAAAAAGGAGAAAAAAATAACGCGTATTTCCTAGGTCTTGAAAAATCTAAACAAACGAAAAAGACAATACTTAAACTGAGAAACAATAATGGGGAAAT